TGAAATGCACTGTATGTGATAAAGAGGTTAAGAGTTTAATACTTTAATATCCAGAAAAAAACCTTTCCTGAGGTGACTGCATTTGATTTTGCCTTTTAAATCAATGCTGCTTTACTTTTTTTTATCACTCAGCAAATTATCTTTGTTTATGTGGTAAATGATGAAAGCTTCATTATATATAGTGATAAAAAACTTTCTTTATTCAGCACATATCATCCCTGCCAAGGCTTGTGATATTTTATTCACATCATCTCATTTTTCACAAGAGCCCTTTGAGGGCTCATATTGTTCTTTTTCTAATATTGATGAAATTGAGTTTAGAAGGGCCATGTTGGAGGGACCAGAATATCCTGTGGGGTTTGTCTCACTGCAGAATTCTGCCTGCTCCTGGATTCATGATGGTCACACATATGTGCTTCAGAATATTGCCCAGTACTTGGAAGTAAGCAAGGAAAAACAATGGACTACAATAGGGATGGCAGAAAATGGGAAGCGTGAATACGTTCCATCTTTTAGAAACTTTTTTTTTTTTTTTTTTTTTGGTGCCGGGGATCAAACTCATGACCTTGTGCTTGCCAGGCATGCGCTTGTGCCACTGAGCTAAATGTCCAGCCCTGTTCTTTTCTTTTTTAAAACCCGGGGTCTGGCTATTTTGCCTAGACTGGTATTGAGCTCATGAGATCAAATGATCCTCCTGTTTCAGTTTTCCAAGTAGCTAGGTGTATGGGCATATGTTACCACATCTGGCATCTGTGTGTGTGTGTGTGTGTGTGTGTGTGTATTATAATTTTTTCTTTCTGATAGGCTACGTAGGTTTGTCCTAAGCCTGCAAAGTAGCAGATTAAGAAAAGAATAAACAAAGACTCTGGGCACTGACAGTAGGATGAAATGGATGCTTCTAAGGTTCCTTTCAGTTACAATGTTCTATGGTGTCAGCAGCCTTAACAGCAACTGTTGTGGACTGCATATATTTGTGTGCCCCCAAAATATGTATCTTGACCTTAACCTCTGCTGTGGTGTTTGGAGACAGGACCCTTAGGAAATAACTAAATTTAGATGAGTTCATGAGAGTGAGACCTCCTTTGGCATTAGTGGCTTTACTGAAAAGAAACCAGAGATTGTTCAGAGTCCATCATATGAAGACAGCAACTCAAGCTAAGACAGCAAACAAGGAGACAAATTAACTAACGACAGAAACAATAACAAAAAAGCACACCAGTCTGGGCCTTTTTGGTGAAGTATATTTGATGATTTCAGGTCACAAAGAAAAATTTATAAGATGAGCTATTTTAAATTTGTTTAAGAAACATCTAATGCATTTTAGAAAGGTTTCCTGCAAAGGAAATAAGAAAAATTTTATTTTAAGATTAACCTTGGAGAAACTCAGTTATTCAGAATATTTTTAAGTAGCCAAAGAAGACAGTGAGCAGGAAGGAGTGAATATCTCAGTTACTAGCCTTGAGTGGATACTGTTAGGCAGATGATCTCTGCCTTTCACTTCTGCCTGCCTGTTCATTTGCTACTGCTTGAGGAGGACCTTTACCCACTCCATGATTTCAACTCGTTTATTCAGCAGAGTCACAGAGAACCTGCTATGTGACTAGCACCACTTTAATCCCTGTTAAGACAGTGACTGGTAGAAGACATAGTCCTGCCTTTAAGTTGTTTTTGGTTTATTTGAGGAGAAAAGCAAAACAAAAACAACAAAAAAAAAAACAACCAAACAAACAAACAAAAAAAACCCTCAGCATAGACCCTTAGAGGACCACACAACCAGGGACTGTACCTCTCTTTTTTTTTTTGTTGTGGGGAGGGGGAAGAGCATGAGAGGGTGATGGGCTTTCTAGGGAAAGTGGTGCTCAAGCTAAATCTTAGGCTTAAGGAGAGTATCTTAAGCAGGGGCAACAGCTGGTATAAAAATTTAGAGGCCAGAGAGCAAGGTACCCTTACAAACTTGCAAATGTACCGCAATTTGGCCTTCTCATAGAAGTTAGCCAAGGGAAGAGGGAGAGGTTATGTGGGTGGGAAAAAGAAAGAGAAACAGCAAAAATGGAGTAGGGTTTTGTATACCATGTGAGAAGATCTGGACTTGATTCTGTGTGGCATCCAGGGGATTTTATGGGTCTGAGGCATGGCTCACACACTGCTCCAGCTGCTGTTCCCTTTCCTTCTCCCATCACTGGTCATGCTCAATCTTTACTGTTCCAGCAAAGACAATGTCATTCTTTCCCAAGTCCTCTACACTTGTCATTCCTCCTGCCTAGCTTGTACTAAAAGAATTACTTTGATTGCATTGTGCTACTTAGAGTAGAGTAGGTAAGCCAGAAAAGGAGATGGAATAGGAGAGCTAGCTATAATGGTCTAAGGGGGAGAACATGGAGGCCTCATCTGGGAAAGTGGCAGCACACAGGTAGAGAGACACAGACAGATGCACATGACATTTTAGGAAGAGTATTTGGTCAATGTTATACCTGCAGAGCAAGGATAACGCCTCAGGCCACTGATGCTCAAAGACATTACAATAGCAGAGAAGTACAGTCAGATCTCAGTGATCTACTTTGTGGTGTGTTTTGGGATGTCATTGCCCTGTTGTATTGCGAAGCATGCTGCATGGCTTTGTTCACTGAATTGTTGTGAATAAAGCTTATAGGTTCCGGCTGCATTAATACAACCCATGGTCTTGCTTATGTCCAATTTTAATGTTCATGAGTATATGCCTGGGCTTTCTATGGACTAATAATATGCTTACTTGTGAGCACAATGGAATAACTGAGACAAAAAAATTAGAGTAAATGACCAAGATAGTCACAATCAAGTAGTTCTTATTAAGAACCATTAAATGCTTTTAAATGTATATGTGTGACACACATACACGCTTATAAATCCCCCCCCCCCCGTACTACCAGGGATCAACCATTAAATGCATGGCTCAGGTTTCCATATGTAAGATCCCTTTAACAAACTCAGCTTAAATCAGCTGCTCCTGTCTAGAAATGTTTTTTTCTGCAGTTGTTTAAAACTTTGAAACCCAGACATACCCAAGCCAGGCCCCCACTGAACAAAGAAGTGCCACTGCTTAGAGCTATTGTGTTTACATTTGCTACTACAGAGATTTGGTTTGTTTCCGAAAGACGCATTTTAACATTTGAGTGGTGAGCCACATTTGTTATATTTGAACCATGTGTGACGTAAGGAATTTGGGTAACCACTGAGCGAAGGGGGGGAGGGTGAATATTTGGGTTAGTAGTGGTACTTTCTGCCAATTTAAAATGAACTGGTTAGATGGCCAAAGAAAACTTTTAAATGTATATGTGTGACACACATACACGCTTATAAATTCTCCCCCCCCCCCCCTGTACTACCAGGGATCAAACTCATTGGCTTGTGCTTCCCAGGCAGCATTTACACTGCTGAGCTAAATCCCCAAACCCTTTATATGCTTATATATTTGTATGCTTACACTAATGTTGAGGTAGAATTTATTAAATTGGACTGTGCTATTTATCTATTCAAGATTGCATGGCTATCACTTTGGAATTGGATAATATTCTGAATTGACCTAAAAGTGCTTCATGGTATGGTCTTTCTGGTGATTGGTCCCCACCCTGAAGCTAGCCAGGAAGCCATTAAAAGTTGCCTCATTAGAACAGAAGATGTCCCAATCACCCAGGAAACTTAAAGGATTGGGGGCAGGAATTAAGCAGAGACCAAGTGTGTATGTGTTGGTGGTGTTCTGTTTTGTTTTTTGAGACAGGGTGTTGCTTTGTAGTTTCAGGCTGATCTTGAATTTACTGGGTTGTCCAGGCTGGCCTCAAGCTTGTGGCAGTCCTACTTTAGCCTCCCAAGTGCTGCTATTGCAGGTGTACACTATCATGCCTGGCATAATCTTTTGTTATAGAATTAATCAAGCATTTAGTTAATAGGATAATTGACATCTATCTTTGTCTATCACAGTTGGTACCTAGTTTTGGGCCCCTCTATTCTCAGAATGTTTTTTTCTTTTTCTGACTGGACTAAACCAAAACATTGGTGTGTGGCTATATTACACTAATATGCTTACTGGTAGATTGAATAACAGCCCCCCAAAGATATCTATTTCATACATCCTAGAGTCTATGCATGTATGATCCTCAATAATATAAGGGACTTTTCAGATATGTTTAAGCATTTTGAGATGGAGAGATCTTCCTGCATTATCCATATATATGGTGTGATCACATATCCTTGTAACAGTGAGATGCAGAAAGATCTGAGTCAGAGAAAGCGTTGTGACAGTGAAAGCAGAGGGAGGGAAAGAGCCGAGAGCAGAAGAAGGGGGTGTGTTGCTACAAGCCAAGGAACATGAACAGCTTCTAGGAGATGGAAAAGGCAAGGAGCAAACTCTTCCTTTGAGCTTCCAGGAGGACTCAGTTCTGCTGACACTTTGATTTTAGCCCTGTAATATCCATGTAATACTTCTGGCCTTCGGAACTAGAATATGGTAAGTGTATGTTATTACAAATCAGTAGGTTTGTGGTAATTTTTTCCAGAAACAATAGGAAACTAATTCATCCCCCCAAGAGACCTTAGGGAAACCCACTTATGATATTTTTTAAGAAATAAGGGATCTGAGTGCAAATTATAGAGTAAGGGCTTCTGGGGACTTTTCCTGCCCTTAGTACCTGTGAAATGATTTACATATTATAACTTCTCTATTTTTAGAAAACTGTTTCCCTGTTCTCTTCTGTATTAAATCCTATCAATATTGACATGGTAAAATGAAATGTCTTAGAGTTCATTAAAGAGGGATCTGGGTCTCCAGTACTCTTCAAAGTAAAGAAAAACGTGTGTAGCAGAGAATACTGAGTCTTCTACTTTTAAAGCTTGTTGCTTGTTATTTATTTGTACCTCAGGAGTAGAAATATTGGCTGAGATGAAAGTATCTGGCACAGATTGCTTTTCCTTCTTGTTTCACAGCCAGAGGTTATGAAATTTTCTTTTTTCTTTTTGTTTCTCTCTAGTGCCTGGAAACCTTGGCTGCTACAAAGATCATGGAAACCCACCTCCTCTAACTGGCACCAGTAAAACATCCAACAAACTCACCATCCAGACCTGCATCAGTTTCTGTCGGAGTCAGAGGTTCAAGGTAAAGGCCCTTTGGATATATAATTGTAGAAAAAGCTAAAGATCCAAGTGTGTTTTGCTGAAGTAACTTAAAAATATATATAATTTTCAAAAATCTGTCAAATCAGACAACTGTACTTCTTTTGCCAAGGAAGAATTAGAGGAGTGAGTTTGGGATTCAGGAGGGTGAGGCAATGTTTTTGTTTAAGGACTGGGAGGAAAATTTCTAATATATAGCAGCATCCTTGTTTGACCCCCTGAGTTATGTATTCATGCCCTTGTGTATTATGAGCAGGGATATCACTGTATTTACAGAAAATCTGACAATAAGCCTAAGTAGTGGTTTACTTTCTTAATAAATTACTGGGCCCTAGCCAGTTTACCAATTTAAAAAGCTTTCTTTTCTTCCTATCCATTCTTTTTTTTTTTTAAAAAAAAATTCATCCCTTAACCTTTAAGGTTTAATAATGCTATTGTTTGTTATATCAGAAAAGTAGGGAAAGATTCCTGTTTTCCTTCTTCCTTCCATCTTTCTCACCCACTTTCCCTTTCGCCTTTCATTTTTTTCCTTCCTATCTAAAGGCTTTTAACCAATGCCAAGCAAGGAAGATAATTTTTCAGAGTTAAGGGCTTATTGAGACAAATGGTTAAGGAAGGCAGTTGACCCAACATGATCAAATGATTGAGTGCTTAGGCATATGAATGAATATATTGAAAACTCCAATAAAGTATATAGTGTTGGGTAGGGATTGGATTAGTATAGGTGCATGGTTCTGGATAAATGGAGACAGAAAAATGTGTGTGCATGTGTGTGTGTGTGTGTGTGTGTACATATACATGTCTAAGCTCTGTCCACTAAGAGGGCCTGAGAGTGGTGACATACTAACAGCAGAGAGTAGTATCCTTAGCACCCAGATCTGGTTTCTAAATAGTATTCTTCGCTAAAAAGAAGCTCCTTAGAGAAAATTACTGATTATTGGGCTAGTTCTGAGAAAATGCAAAATGAGCCTGAAATATCTTTTAGAGGAAAGTATACAATGATATAGAGTTGCCACAGGAACACGAAAACCACTTTGAAGGAGTTCTGACCAGCCAAATCTCACATAATTTGAACTCCTAAATAATGATGATAATATAGTAAATATGCCCCATTGAATAAAATAAAAATCTGTAAATCCATATTGGTGAATAAGAAGAAAAACATTCTTTCTCAGAGAATACTAGCTAAGAAATAGAGAAAAAATGAATATTAGTCACTTTCCCATTGCTGAGACAAAATAGTCAACATCCATAATTTAAAGGGAGAGAAGTTTAATTTGACTCACAGTTTCTTTGGGTGCATTGTGTGGTCAGCCGGCTCCAAGACAGAAACAGCATGATGGAAGGCATGGCAGAGTAAAGCACATGGCAGCCAGGAAGCAAAGAGAAAGAGAGGAGGAGCCAGGGGGCAAGAACACACCCTTCCAAATCACATCCACAAACCAGGTCCTCTGTACTAACAGCACATTTAGCTACTGAACTCATCATCAATGAGTGAATACACTAGTGAGGATAGTGCCTCCATGATCTAGTCACCTTCCAAACACATGAGACATTAGGGAACGTTTTAGATCTAAACCCTAACATGATTAAATTTGGAAATTCACCATTTGTTCACCATCATAGTAGTAATTGATTTAGAAACCAAGTGTCAAGATATGTAAATATTCTAAATCCTCATCTACTAATGAGTAAAACTTTATATACCCTCAAGAATTGCCCTAGGAAATACCTACTAACTACAAAGGGAAAACAAGTACTACAGTAGAGAAAACTGGCATAATTACCTTACTCAAGTGACCAAATTTAATATTACCAGTGCTATCATAAAAAGTAGATATTGTACTAACCCATTAGAACAAGAACCTGAGATCACATTGGTGTTATGTGTACCAAAAATGCATAGTGTGTATCTAATTATGAAGAAACAACAAGTAAATATATAACAAAGGACATTCTATAAAATGACTAATCTTTATTCTTCAATAACCTTATTGTAACCAGGCATGGTGGCACATGCCTGAATCCTAGCATTTGGGAGGCTGAGGCAGGATAATTGCTGTGAGTTAGAGGCTAGCCTCAGCTATAATAGTGGGTTCAGGGTCAGCCTGAACTGCATAGTAAGTCCCTGTATCAAAAGAAAAATTAAGTTAAAAACACTTATGTCGCAGAGGTCAAAAAGAACTGATAACTATTTCAGAAGGAAGAAGACAGAGAATTGACAACAAAAATACCTCTACTGCTGGATTGGATCCTTTTTCTATAAGGAATGATTGAGGCAATTGCCAGCTTGAATGAAGTTGCTAGATGAAGGGAATAGAGTAATTATTCCTACTCTTCTTGCACTTTCTCTGTAGGTTTGAAATTATTTCAAAATAAAATACAGCAAAAGCATTTGAAAAAACATAGAATTCACTAATAATACAAATCAGCAAATTAAGAGTAAAAGGGAATTTCTTCCTGATTAAGAGTAACTTTTTAATTTTATTTTATTTTTTAAATTTTTTTTTGTCTTTTTGAGACAGGGTCTCCTGATGTATTTCAGGTTGACTTTGAGCTCTCTTCATAGCGCAGGCTGGTCTTGAACTTGCAGTAATCCTCCTACTTTTGCCTCCGAGTGCTGGGATTACAGGCATGTGCCACCATGCCCAGCTGAGTAACTGTTTTATAAAAGGAATACATTTATCAAAAATTTTGGGAGCTTATATATTGAAAATTATATAAGATTACAAGGGAAAAATAAAATCTTAATAAATGGAGATATAGAACTTTGTCAAAGATTGAAAAACTCAAATTTATCTATACAGTCAGTGCAATCCTGATCAAAATCATAATATAGTTTTTGAAAGGAACTGACAAACTGATCCTAAAATTTGTTGAAAGGATTTTCAATAAATTCTTGGAGAAACAGTAGGATTCTTTATGAAGAAAAGTGAAACTCCATCCTTATATCATTTCTTATATGGGAAGACAAAGAATAACCAAAATAATGTTGAAAAAGGAATCATTCTGATCTGAAGATGTTCTATAAAGCAAGTGGTGTTGGCATAAAAACAGTCATGTGGATTTTGAGTCAACAAACTTTAGCCCATTTTCTTTTTCTTTTATAAGTAAAATTTTATTGAAACATAGCCATGCCTATTCATTTACAAATTATCTGTGGCTATTTTCATGCTATAATAACAAAGTTTAGTTGAGAAAATTGCTCACAATGTGAAATATATACTTCCTATACTTACGTGGGCAATTGACTTTTGATAAAGGTGGCTGAATAATTCAGTGGTAGAATGGATTTTCAATAAATGCTTCTGGAGAAACAGTGAAGCTCTTTAGGCAGAAAAATGAACTTTTATCTTTGTCTCATCTCAGGCAAAAATTAAGTTATACTAAAAAAAGTACTAATAGTTGAAATAAAATATGCCACATGAATAAATAAAATATAATTGACAATGCAGAAATAAAAATATACATGGATGATCAATTTTTCAACAAAGATGTCAAGATCATTTAATGTTAAGAAGATAGTCTTTTCAACAAATGGTACCAAAACAATTGGATATTTGGGACTGGGGATTTAGCTCAACGGCATAAGCACATGCCTTGCAAGCGCAAGGTCGTGAGTTCGATCCTCGGTACTGAAAAGAAGTAAAAAAAAAAAATTGGATATCCACATAAACAACAATGAATCTGGATCCCTGTTGCACATTATATGTAAAAATTAACTAAAAATAATCAAAACCTAAATGTAAGCACTAAAACTATAAAACCTTTAGGGAAATACAGGTATAAACATACCTGACCTTCAACTAAGCAGTGGTTTCTTAGTTATCATATTGAAAGTCTAAATAACCAAAGGAAAAAAATAGAAAATCAGGAATAAAACAAAGATGGTCATTATCTCTACTCTGTTTTAATACAGTTTTCAAAACATTATTTCTATTTTTAGGAATAACATTAGCAAGAGCAATAGTCAAGAAAAAGAAATAATAGGAATATGTATAGGAGAGAAAGAAGTCAAATTACTATTTCAGATAACCTGATCTTCTACATAGAAGACCTCAAGAAAGCCACCAAGAGACTCTTAAAATTAACAATCAAATTCAGTAATATAGCAGGACTCAGAATCAACACAAAATCAGTATTGTTTCTGTACATTGATAATGAAACCACTAAGGAGTTAGGAAAAAGTGCTATTTATATAATAGCAACAATAAAAATTAAATACTTAGCAATTAACCTAAGTAAGGAAGTGAAAAACCTCTATAAAGAAAACTGGGGCTGGGGATTTAGCTCAGCGGCACGCACCTGCCTTGCAAGCAGGCGATCATGAGTTCGATCCCTGGTACCGATAAAAAGGAAAAAAAAAAAGACAAAAACAAAAACAAAAACAAAAACTGGGGCTGGGGATTTAGCTCAGTGGTATAAACGCCTACCTTACAAGCAGGCAGTCGTGAGTTCGATCCCTGGTACCGATAAAAACGAATAAGACCAAAAAAAAAAAAAAAAAAAGAAAAGAAAAGAAAAGAAAACTGGTACTCTGAAAAAGGAAATTGAAGGGGATAGCAGAAAATATAAGTGTTCTTGGATAGCGGAACCAAGTGTAGTCAAAACGGCCATACTCCCAAAACTGATACACAGATTTCATGCAATCCCAATAAAATACTAAAAGACTTGCATAGCTGAAGAACTGTGAAAACTCAAATAGTAAAATGGCAAATAACACAATTTTAAAATGTGCAAAAGACCTGGATACGTCACAGAGGATACACTGATAGTAAATGAGCACATTAAATGATATTCAGCGTCCTAAACCATTAAAGAAATATGAATCAAAACCATAGTGAAATATAGTTGCACCCCAGTTGGAATGTCTAAAATAAAATGCACTGGTAATAGCGAGTGCTGACAAGAACAGACCAACTAAGCTCTTATATGCTGTTGTTGCTAATGTGAAATGGGACAGTCATCCTGGAAAAATTTGGCAGTTCCTTAGAAAGTGAAACATATACTTAACATATGACCCCACAATCTCATTCTTAGTTCTTACCCTAGAAAAATGAAAATTTATGTTTACACAAAAATTTACATACAAATAGTTACAGCATTAGAGACTAGAACCAGAAACAGTCTAATAAATGAACAAATTGTAGTGTATTCACATAGTACACTCTGTTAGGTAGTAAAAAGGAATGAGCTATCATTACCTGCATCAGTTTAGATCAACCTCAAAGACACTATGCTGAGAGAAAAAAAAAATAGTCCCAAAAGTTTCCATACTTCATGATTCTATGATATTACAGTATATTTAAAAAAAACAAACAAACAGAGCTGTAGTAGTTGAAAACTGGTCAGTGGTTGTGAGGATTTATGACTGGGGCCTATAAAGCAATAGCATGAAGAAGAATATTGGATGATGCAGCTATTCTGTACCTTGATTATACTTGTGATTGTACAAATCTGTACATATGTTATAATTTATATGCTGAGGGCCAGGGACATGGCTCAGCAGCATAGAACCTGCCTGACAAACGTGAGATTGTGAGTTCAGTTCCCAGTACAAAAAAAAAAAAAAAAAAAAAAGGACCCTGTACTAAAATGTATTTTATGTTAATACAAAAGATGAAATCCAAATTTTAAATGGGACTGTATTAATTTTTCTATGAGGATTTGCTGTGAAACACTTGCTACAAGGCATGTAGTAAACAGTCAACAAAATTTTTAACTTATTATTAATATTTTGAGTTTACAGGATTTTTCTCTCCCTTAAAACTTTTTTTTTTTGGTCTTTTTGAGACGGTCTCATCACCATGCAGTTTAGGCCGGCTTTGCACTCACTTTTGAGCCCTGGCTGGCCTCTAACTTATATCAGTTTTCCTGCCTCAGCCTCCTTCCTGAGTGCTGGGATTACAGGTGTGTGCTGCCTGTAAAACTTAAACACAATAGAAAGTAGTATTAAGTTCTTAAAACTTAATTAAATACTATAGAAATACAAGCATTAAAAAAGGAATACTCATTGACAGGGAAACACATTCATGGTGTGTGGTGGTGTGCAGTTCATCAGCTTGGAATCAAGTGTTGGTAGAGTGGGACCAGGGAAAAGTTCCAGGGGAAGGGTGGCCTGGGAAGATGAAGCTGACTGTTGGGGCCAACCTGCCAAGCTCCTTCAGGCCAGCTGACCACACTCACTATGTGCTACTTGTCTGTTGTGGCAGTTTGCTGGGATGGAGTCAGGCTATGCGTGCTTCTGTGGGAACAACCCTGATTACTGGAAGTATGGGGAGGCAGCCAGCACTGAGTGCAACAGCGTCTGCTTCGGGGATCATACCCAGCCCTGTGGGGGTGATGGCAGGATCATCCTCTTTGATAGTGAGTATGCCTTGTGCTTGTCACTGCCTAAAACCCAGAACTTTCCTTCCTTCCTTCCTCCCTCCGCCCTTCCCTCTATCCTTCTTTCCTCCCTCCCATGTACTCATTCATTCACTTTTTTAATATATATGGAGCACAAGGTAGCCCAGGAACTGCCTACACCCTGGGGATACAGCACAAACATGCAGGCTCAGCCTATCCTCTAAAAGGAAAAGTGGATGTTTAACAAGTGCTAGATTACAGTTGTGCTGAGTGCTTTGGGGTGCTGCTTAGACAACCTAGAAAAGATAATTCTTCCAGTTTTACATGGATATGCCTGTTCAATATCAGCTTTATTATCATCTTATTTTAATACAATTTCCAAGCCTGATTAATGTGTTTTTGGGCATTGGGGATTTGTGTCTTACTGTAATGCATGTGGGAATACAGTGATCCTGTGAGTTGTTTTTCCAGGGCTGATGTTGAGTTTGGCTTGATCTACTGCCTCTCTGATTTGCCAATTTTGTGACAGGCCAGCTAGGGCAGAGTCTTCCTAATTGGTTGTGATTCCAGCATTAATCTCTCCAATACCATGCTCTTACCCCTTAGCTCCTTGAGTCCTTATTGTAACCTACTCACACCTATTCAGTAGTAGTGAGACTTCATGAGAGTCACAATACCAGGATAGCACCCTATTTTAAAGATGGTAGAAAAGAAAATCACAAATGAGGCAGATAAAATGAGGCAGGAAAAACAATGAGATTACTATGAAAATATCTATAGTGTGTTTTGGAACTTAGGAGAAGATCCACTCCTGACATCTCCACCAGGTAAAGTGGCTCAGTTTTGAGCGAAAGTATCACATTGTATATTAGTTTCTTGGGCCAACATAACAAGGTATCACAAACTGAGTGGTTTAAAATAACAGCAATTTATTCTTTCACAGTTCTGGAGGCCAGAGGCCCTACATGAAGGTAGGACTGTGTTCTGTTTGGGGCTTTAGGGAGGCTTTCCTAGCTTTGGGTGTTTGCCTGCAGTCCTTGCGTTTGTTGGCATATAGCTGCATCACCCCATGTCTGTTTTCTTCACACAGCCATATTCTTTGGTGTGCATCCATGTTTCACTATCTCCTTATAAAGACACCAATTATGGGGTGGAGAACACAGCAGTACAGCACCTGCCTGGCAAACACAAGGTCATGAGTTTGATTCCTGGCACCAAAAAAAAAAGAAAGAAACTTATTGAATTCAACCTAATATGACCTCATCTTAACTTGGTTACTTCTGTAAAGACCTTATATCTAAAAAGGATCATATTTACAGATATCAAGTGTTAGAATTTGAACATAGCTTTTGTGGGGACACAATTAGCCATACTTACAGTAACTATATATCCCAACCCAGATTTATACCAAAGCCTTTGCAGGTTATAAAGTGTATGGATTGTGGTCTGGAGAAAGAGTAAGCAGAACTCTTGTGGCCAATTATTGATCCTTTAAACCAATTATGCCCTCTTGAAGACTACTGGTATCTTCCTGTACATCCTAGGATGTAATGTCAAGACAAATGTTCAGTTTGGTATCCTGTTGTGGCAAAGACAAACTGTGTATAATGTTCAAGGTAAGTTGGTAGTGTTTAGTTGGCAGATAACTGTGCACTACACATCACCCTCGAGTTCATCAAACGAATATTCTGTACCTTGACACCTTAAGAGAGTATGTTTGCCAAAATTTCTGCTATAGCTTTAAGCCAAAAAAAGAGGAAGTAAACATTTATTGAGTACCTCATAAGAATTAAGATTTCTTGTCATCATATTAGTCTTCATAATACCCATCAAGGTAGGTTTTGTTATGATAACAGTCATTTTGTAGAGTAGACCCGTAAGATATGAAGGTCAGTCACCTGCCAAGATTTACACTGTCTGCAAGCCTTTGGATTAGTGAGAAACAGGAGCAAAGTTTGTGGGCTTGCTACCTGTTTTTATACTTTAAATCAAACGTATTATTAATTAAAAGATGCCACTGCTCTATAAAACAATCTGGCATAGCAGCACAATTTGTGATGGCTAAATCTTGGAAACAACCAAAATGCCCATCGACCACAGAGTGGATGAAAAAAATATGATATTTCTATATAATGGAATACTACTCAGCTATAAAAAGGATAATCTTGAGGCCTTTGTAGGTAAATGGAGGCAATTTGAGAATAACCTCATTAGTGAAATAAACAAGACTCACATTAATAAATATCACATTGTCTCTCTAGTGTAAAAAATAGTGAAAACTGACAGAATAATGGGATCCAAAAAGTATAACAGATATTGTGAAAGTGAAAGGAAAGGAAAGTGCTCTAAAGGGTATAACGGTGTCTTAGTTACTTTTTACTTGTTGCTGAGACAAAATACCTGAAGCCCAAAGTTGAGGAAGGAAAGGTTTATTTCTTACAGTTTTTGGAGGTTTCAGTCCATACTCAGTTGGCTCCAAGGCAGGGTAGCATGGCAGAGCCGCAGTTCATGGTGGCTGCAAACAGCAAAGCCAAAACTGGCAAAAGAGCAAGACACACCTTCTTCCTGCCATTACATCACATCCTGGCTCCACCCCTTTGTGGATGTAGCACTAACAGTACCAATCCAAGCACTAGACAATGAACCAATCACAAATGTACAATGCAAACTCATGAGGCCTGGGGGCCACAGACATAAACCATGACAAACGGTATGTATAGTATGTAAGATAGATAACCATATTACTGAATTTCTGTTGGATTATTGAACAGAAAGGTTTGCACTGTCAATGTTGGAGTGTCTAGCCACTTTTTATGCTTTGATTTTGTGACTTTGGCAACTATTTTTAAGACAACAGTGGGTAATGTACCAACTAGCGATTTTATGATGTTAAATTTTTTTTGAATTTGGTATTGTTCTACCTTCTTTTCCTGTTTTTCTATTTTTTAAAAATTTTCTTTGGGAAAAAAAAGAACAATATACAATGTAACAACCATTGTTAAATTTCTGTCATTCTGTTTTGAAAATCTACATTGTTATTGTTTTGGGTTTGTTGTTGTTGTCTATCTCTTTTGCTTTTTGATTTTCTTTTCTGATGTTTTTTAAAATAAAAAAATTAAAAATAGAAAAAAGACTCGGGGGAAAAAACAATCTGGCAGTTCCTTAAAATATGAAACATATATGACCTTATGAACCAGCAGTTCTACTCCTACTAGATCCCTGAGAAAGTCAAACATATGTATTTGCCAAAAAATAACAGATGAATGTTCATAGCAACAGTATTCAAAGTAGCCAAAATGCAGCACCCCAGATGTCCATCAGCTGATGCATGGATAAGCAAAATGTGGTATGTCCATATAATGGGATATTATTCAGCCATGAAAATAAATGAAGTCCTAATACATACCACAACATATATGAACCTGAAAACGTTATCCCAAATGGAAAAAAAAATGATGTGAAGGGTAACATATTATATGTTTCCATTTATGTAGTGTCCCAACTGGAAAAAAAAACATAAAAACAAAAAGCAGATTTGTGATTACTAAGGGCTAAGGAGAAGAGCTAAATGGGGAGTGACTTGACTGCGTAAAGGGTACAGATTTTCATTTTTAGATGGTGAAAATCTTCAAGAATTAGACATTGCAGTGGGTGGGAGCACCTAGTCAGCGCACTTCAGACAAACTAAAACCAACAAAGAAAGAAACTGGGCCTCCTATATACACCAGTATGGAAGGAACAAAAAATATGAGAAGAGGAGGCAACAAGAAAGGGTTTTCAGTCCCCAATCTTGAGAACATTGACCCAGGAAAGGTAAATGCAAACGAGAATGAGGACAGCAAACATGCAATATCAGACACAGCACCAATAGACGTAAAGTGATATCTTTGGGACCTCATAGATGAGTTCAAAAGTGAAGTATTTTAACCAAGTAAAGCAAGATATAAATAGAATAATTAAAGAAATGCTAAGCACCTCCCAAGAAAAAACAAATGGAAGAATGGAAGAACAAAAAAAAAAAGGGAGAATTGTTTGATGGAGAAAATAAAGAAAACATAGAATACATGAAGCAGGTTCAAAGAGATTACCAGGAAACTAAAAACTTCATTGAAAGCTAGCAAAACTGCTTGAAAGAAACTAAAGATAAAATATCTAAACTGGAGGACAGGTTTGCAATGTGGGAACATGAAAGGAAAAATTTCTTAAAAATAACAAGGAAACAAGCAGTAACAATACAAAGACTAGAAGACAAGAGGATCTATAACTTAAGAATAAAGAATGTGAATGAAGAAGCACAGGTACAAACAAAGGAACTGCAAAGGCTATTCACAGAAATAATTAAGGAAAATTTCCCAAATATAGGATATATGAGGCATACAGAACTCCAGCTACCTATAACCAAAACAGAACTACATCCAGGCATATAATAATCAAGATCCCAGAAATCCAAAATAAGAACAGAATATTAAAAGCTGTCAGAGACAAGAAACAGGTCACTTACAAGGGAACACCCATCAGAATTACGGCAGACTTCTCGGCACAAACCATCAAATTGAGAAGAGTGTGGGGCGAAATAATCCCAGCCTTGAAAGAAAATAACCTCCAGCCCAGATTGATGTATCCTGCACAATTGTCCCTAGGAATTAATGGAGAAATAAGATGCTTCCAAGATAAAGAGGAACTGGGGGAATTCACAACCACCAATCCAACACTCAGAGAATACTACAGAACACCCTAAAGAGAGAAAAAAGCACCAAGATTTCAGGAACAGTGGCAGAGAGGCCCCAATGAATGGAGCAAAAAGCGAAATAAAGAAGACAAACAGACAACTAATGATGGAAAAAGAGCACAACAGAAATGAGGCAGAGAAGGTTGGATATAATTTCTAATATAGATGGCCTAGATACACTAACTTAAGGGAAAAAAGAGAGAATCACAGGAAGAATGGATCAAGAAATAGGGTCCACCACGATGCTCTCTATCGGAAATATAACCTGAAGAAAGGTATATGGACCAAA